GCGAAAAGCACGACAGCGGCAAAAAGAAGGGGCACAAAAAGAGCGAGGGACACTACAAAAAGGGCCATCACGACGAGGATCATAAGAAGTACAAAAAGGAGCACAAATACGGCGACAGCTTCGAGGAGAAGGAGGAGCACGGCAAGAAGGGCGAGAAGCAACACGCTCACAAGCATCATAAAAAGAGCGGCAAAAAACACGGCTAAACAACTTTTATAAAGCTTATTAATAAAATTCTTTAAATATATGAAAATCTCGCATTTTGTGTTCCCATCTGAAAGTTGCTGCAATGTTCCATTACAAACGAATTGAATTTAGTAAATAAATAAATTTTGTTTGTTTAGAGCAGTTTTTTCACATTACAAATTCTTTTAATTATAACCTTACCTGTTGCATATATCAATTTTTAAAATCTTTTCAATATTTGCTGTTCAATTTCTTGCAGAAGCAACTCGTTGAGCAGATCGCGCAGCACATCGAGACGCCGTCGCACTCGCTCCAAATCTGGCACTCGCTCGCGCAGCCGCTCCGCCGGCTCGGTGGGTCGCCGCACCGGACGGTCGCGCGAGAATGGACGGGATGAGAACGGATCGGTGTCACGCTATAGTGACCAGGAGCGCAATGGAAGCGGCGTGGTCGATTCGCCGCCGCCAGTGAAGCGACGATACGATGATGATGATGATGACAGAGATAGGGGCTCGAGATCGCCGTCCCCGCCCCGTCGTGGTTCACCGTTGAGGCGTCGTGGCGATTCCTCCGTGTCGCGCTCCATGTCCAGGGATTAGCGTTGGAAGGATTATCAATTTGGCCATTTACAATAGGGCTCAACCTGCTCCTTCATTCCTGAAACCAACAAACACCCAAGCACCCAAGCACCCAAATTACATTAATATGTTCGTCAGGCAGTAAATCATTTAGTTGCCCACATTCTTAGCTTAGAATATAATCTATAGTTTAATATAAATGCATACATATACTCTACCCTCCTATTTTTTAATCTCCTTCCGATTCCCAATTCAACGCCAGGCAGAACAAATTGTGCGTTTGATTATTTTATGTCCATATCACATTACAGGAAATTATAAAAACAAGAACAAAAACAAAAACTAAAAGAACAACAGATCGAATCCGCCTCCAGAAAGTCGATCTAGTCATGCTGCAGATTACATTTATGTTTATCCGAAGTGAACAAACATGTTTTTGCTTTTTCATATACATATATTAAATACGTACATAAATTATATAGACACATATATCAGGCTAAGAATGTTTTGTATTCAAACAAAAAAGAAGAAAATAAGAAAAGAAAAGAAAAATTAAAGGGCAGCTTGAATCTTTGTAGGAATATGAATATTTCACTTGGACAACTGAAATTCTATCCTCATGTCAATTTTATGATGTAACTTATCACTGAAACCTTTTAACCTTGAATACAGAATGCCCGAAATGATATTTCACTTCAAGTTTGTAAGGTGTTTTTTTAAAAATATTCATATTAATTAAGCAAAATTATTGCAAATTCAGATTTCTCATACATTACGTCATAGTTAAGTATTATAATAATAATGTATGAATTTTTTGAGATGCGTATTTGTATGTAGCAGATGCGTAGAGAACCTACAATACATTAATATTCAATCAATAAATCAAATGCCAAAAAAAATTGGCTGTTTTTTAAATATATGGGGGGGAAATCTACTTTTCAGATAATGGGGATTATATGAATGCCAGTCAGTCGGTTAGAAAGCTTGGCATTATTTTTGTACATTTGTTATTTGACTGTCAACATTTCATAAAATTAAATGTTTCGCTGAAAGTCGTATCTGCACGATTTGTGCGAAGATCTTTCGGTTAAAAACAAAAAATTCAAAAAAATTCCAATGCTGCCAAATATCAGTCAAAGAAACCCTGTGCGTCTTGATGCCGATATAAAACTATCGATATATTTAATAACGCGAACAGGAGAACTCGTACCAGCACTATCATACTGTGATCGATACTCGCATATATCGATATAAGATCAATTGCGCTTCGCATTCCTACACTTAATACTGTTTCGTGTTTTTGTTTTGTTTATTTTTTTGAACTTGATAAATATTTCAAAGCGATCAATAAAAAGTTCAGTTCAGCAATTTGGTGAAGTGTGTGGCAAACGTACTCTTATAATTGCAATGGCAATGGCTTTTCGCTTGTCCAAGCACGAAACGAGCGTCGTCAGTGCGGACGACACTTCGCTCGAGCAGCTCGACTCTAGCGTCGAGATGCGTTCGCGCTCCCCATCGCCGCTTGTATTTAATCCACGCAAATTGCGCTTCGCCGACGACGATTTTGACAAGGATCGACAGGAAAGTCCGCAACACAAAAAGAAACCGAACGATGCCGCGCGAGACATGGACATGTCCCCACCATGCCAAAAAGTACGCGCACTCCGTCTGTTCAACACACCAGCAACGCCAAAGACCATACTGCAAAAGTCAACGAGCAACTGCAGCAATCACCTATCAGCCGCCGCCGCAGCGGTGAATGCCACCAGACGCGAGGAAGTATATAAATTGATAGAACGTCCACGCTCGCTGCCTCTGCACAATCACAGAAGCATGCAACCACAGGACACGGCCAATGTTAATCCCTTCACACCAGACAGTGAGTGCTTTCCTTATTATGCTTGCAAAAGTGTATCCACATTCGACTCTAATCCATATACACATCGCTTCCCTTCAGGTCTGATGGCGCACAACAAGAAGCGTTGTCGCACCCAATTCGGACGCGAGAATCTCAATGTGAGCGCCATGCAGAGGTTTCTGCTCAGCGATCCCGGTGACGAGGATGCCGCACAGGAGACGAACGGCAGCGATCCCTCGCATGAGATACATCAGCAGGCGCCCAAACGATTGGCGTTGCATGACACAAACATCAGTCGCTTTAAGCGCGAGTTCATGCAGGTCAGCGTAATTGGTGTGGGTGAGTTTGGAGTCGTCTTTCAGTGCGTGAACCGGCTGGATGGTTGCATTTATGCCATTAAGAAGAGCAAAAAGCCCGTTGCCGGCAGTTCATTCGAGTAAGTTGCCCCGAATCTCAATCCAAAAAACTTCTTATTGAAATACTGATTCTTTAGAAAGCGTGCCTTGAACGAGGTCTGGGCGCATGCCGTGCTGGGCAAGCACGATAATGTGGTGCGATACTATTCGGCCTGGGCGGAGGACGATCATATGTTAATACAGAATGAATTTTGCGATGGCGGCAGCCTGCATGCGCGCATTCAGGAGCACTGCCTGGGCGAATCCGAGCTGAAGATATTGCTAATGCATGTGATCGAAGGCTTGCGCTACATACATTCCAATGATTTGGTGCACATGGACATCAAGCCGGAGAACATCTTCTCCACAATGAATCCCACGGCACACAAACTGGGCAGCGCTGCACAGCAGCAGGGCAGCCGAGACGATGATGGCATGGATAGCGTATATGAGGAACTGCGCAGCTCCGAGAATCTCGTTACGTACAAAATTGGTGACTTGGGGCATGTGACGTCTGTGAACGAACCGCATGTTGAGGAGGGCGATTGTCGTTACCTGCCCAAGGAAATCCTGCAGGAAGATTATAGCAATCTGTTCAAGGCCGACATTTTCTCGCTGGGCATTACGCTCTACGAGGTCGCCGGTGGTGGACCGCTGCCAAAGAACGGACCCGAGTGGCACAAACTGCGCAATGGCGAGGTGCCAGCTATTCCCACGCTAAGCAAGGACTTTAACGAGCTGATTGCGCAAATGATGCATCCAGAGCCAAACGAGAGGCCCAGCTCCATGTCCATATACAGTCATCCGTAAGTACAAGTTTCTAATAAATATAGATTGTTGATATGCTAATTTCGGTTTATTCATGCCGACAGCATTCTGAGCGCAGTTGACTCCAAGAGTAAATTGCAGCTGGGACTGGAGCTGACGGTGGAGAAGCGCAAGAACGAGATACTAATGAATAAGTTAAGGGAAGCAAAGAAACAGATCAAACTGCTCGAACAGCGTGGTGAGTGTGCACAGACAATCTCTCTTAATCGTCATCATATCTAAGTTGGTGTCCTTTCCATTGTAGTGTCCATGCTGGCTGCAGCAAACACACCGGAACCCCTGGACGGACAACGCTGTCTGCGCTCCTTTACGCGACGCATGCGCACTCCGTTTGTGTCGCATTCTAAATTTAATAATCTGGGTGATCGTAACAAGAATGTCATTGCCAACGTTTGACAATATTTACAATTTCAGCTATACGCCGGCACTAAACTCTTCCGCATTCAAAGTGAACTAAGCTCACATTCTTGTTAATTTAAGCATGTATCGTAGCTATAAGTTGTTGCTAATTTCGATTTGCAAACGCCTCAATATCGTTGAGGGTTCTGTTCCTATTCTATCAACAAACAAAAAAAAAAAAAAGAAAACACCGGATGAATGCTATATCTATATTTCTCAACTCAGTGAAATTTCTTGAATAAAAAAGACGCGTAATAAGGTATTGCCTTTAATCTTAATTTTTTTTTTATAAAAACCCAACATTTTTGTATATATATATATTGAGTTATAACTGTAAAATAGTATGTATTGTTTTCGTAATTAAACTATTTATTATGTTAAATTGAAGGCGAACATTTTTAAGAACATTCCATTCGCGAATAAAACGAATGCTATCCACTTAAATGGCATATATATTTTGTTTTAATTCTTCTCAGATGTTCTACAAAGCAAGAGAACGTTCCAACGAATGCTATTCAATTCAAATGCATTACATATGATATTTGCATTGTTCTCCGCAGTTCTACCACAATCCCGATCATTTCCTGTGTTTGAACATAACAACCCCTAAAAACGCAATGTTTCAATACGCAGAGCTATCGATATATCTGCTATACAGCGATGGGTTGCAATCGGGAAGTGTTTGATTCGATAGTTTTTTATTTTGAGATGTGTAGCGTGCAGGGTTGACACAGTGCCAGTGGCAATTACTCTATTGAGCAACACTAGAAACTCATGTGGTCACCAGTGCTCCAGACAATATTTAAACAGAATGGCCAAAATATTACAGAAATACATAAAGTTTTCCACTTCAGAGCTGGAAGAGTATGCCGCCAACCCGGAATCGTGCGTGCGTTGTGTTAAAACCGACCTGCATTTGGGCATGGGTGCATACGGCATGGCTAACTTCAAACATGCGCTGCACGAGCTGCTCGTCCGCACCAAGGTGGGCATATATGATGCCAATGTGAACGGAATTGTGCTGGGCATCAAGAACATCAAGGTGCTAGGTCAAACGGCAGCGTTACGCGCCGATGATCCCATCATGCACTTGCTTATTAATGCCGACTTCTATGTGTTCAGGCCAGTGGCGGGTGCGGTGCTCCATGGCGTTGTCCGGCACATATCCAAGCATCAAATCAGTGTCATCATCTACAGAGTGTTCAACACAACCATTCGATTTACGAATAAGAAGCAAAGCAAAGAGGGCATTGTCATGGATCAGGAAATCAAGTTTCGAATCAAGGACTTTAACATAGCTAATGTCATGCCCTTCATTGAGGGCGAGCTGTTGCTGGAGGAGACTGATCCTTTGGTAAGTCCAGAAATCTATATACACAACACTGTAGAAAAGTCATAACTCGTATGCTTTTCCAGAACAAAACCATCAAATTTGAAGAGGACGCGGAAACCGAGCATACGGAAACCCACGTGGAGCTAGATGCTCTGGTAGAACTAATCAAAATGGAGCCCAGCATAGAAGACGATACGCCGGCGCCAAAGAAAAAGGCCCAAAAGCGTAAGCAGACTGCAGAAACTGACAAAGTTGTGGAAAAATTGAAAAAAATCAAAAAAATAAAATCAGAGCCCGTGTAGACCTAAAACAAAAACCTGCGTATTGGTACAAACTACATTTAAGATATGATATGAGCAACTATCTAGAATCTAGCCGTTGAGTTTTACAAATACAAACTGTAAATATGTTTAACAATTCCAATCCCAAATCTTAAAATCTTAGCTGCCCACTGGCATCGAAGTGAGAAGCATATTAAGCCCAAAGATGTACAGCCGAAATAATTGCATAGCCCTATTTGGAGTCGTCTATAAAAACAGATTGGATGCAAGACACTCATTGCAGGCCCTGCTGCTCATTCACATACTAATGGGAACTGCAATAGAATGCAGATACTGGAAGCAGAAGCAATACCAACAGAAGGCACCGTTTTCGAAAGGAACAGCTGTGGTTAACAATAAACTTATCACAAGCCGACTACTTTTCTAACTCCTTGACGTCTCCTCGGTATGTGCCATGAGTTCCGAGAACAGAATGCTGTGATTATTGTTGACTCGTCCTCGGTCTGGGTAATATCAGGATACCATTGCTGTCAGATTTGACGCACACAAACGTGAGGATTATGGCATTTATATGTCCCTAGGTCACAGCCTGCGCGCCCAGGCGACCTGTTGCTAAGCTGATAAGGCTGGCAATCCAATCCTTGCGACCATAGTTCCCTAGTCTGAGAATTGTACAATTTACAACATGCATTCTATATCTATAGATGAATTGTTTAAAATAGAAATATGTCAAGTTCAATTAAGAGAAAAAGGCAATTAACCATAAACAAAGATTCAAAAATAGCAAATTTGTACACTATGTTTATAATTCGCAACTGGTTAAGGCGAAGACTTAGTTTGGGCAGTCGAATAAGCAATAACAATTGTTGGTTTTTTTTTCAATATCATAAAAATGCCCAGTATACATAAGTATATTTTATTACATGTTTTTTTTTTTCATACAAATAGATTCAATATTTTACAATACATTTACTCGTAAATACATTATGTGTATTATGTGTGTATATGGTATTTAGTTATAATCATTTAAAAGCTTGTTACTTGTACATATATTTACTTTAATTTATTTATTTATTTTGATTTCGCTATTTATCAAATATATAACAAGCAAATATGTAATAATAAAATATGAAATACTTAACCATATGTCAAATAAATATAAACTATACACACACATATAGAAAACAATCTCAATACGATATAATATATATATATATATATATATAAATATATTTATATAGTTGATGAGGCCTACATATTCCGATTAGTTTATGCACGCGACTCGACTACAAGGAACATTTACATAATGTACAAACAGACAATAAGTACACACATACGCATATTATTAACAAATTTTTGAAAACAACTACGTCGAAGTAAGAACTAATTAAGAAAAGTTGCGGCACTCAAAAAAGTTGTTTTCTAAATTTCAAAAATTTGTTCCAAAATGAGAAGCATCTATTTTTAGAAAAGTTCCTTTTACCTTTACTAATTACTTTTTTAGAAGGAGAAAATTATTCTTCAAAACAAAAAAACTTTCGGAAATTTTAATTCTTTTTCATTTTGTGGCAAATTTTTGAAATTTAAGATAAATCCGCTTTTGAGTACGGGAGAAAGTCGTAGATGGGTTATGGAAAATATAGTTAAAGCGGTTAGGTTCCAGCACTTGGAGCGCTTGCGAGTTAAATTGAAATTCCATAAGCTTAGTTGAGAGCCACATCTGATTAGACAGAGATTTCCTGAATATGTACACGTTTCTTGCCGCCGCCGGAGCTGCTGGCGCCGCCCGCAGCCCCCGCCTGACGCAGGATGCCCATTTGTTGTTGCTGCTGCTGCTGCTGGGCAGCTAGAAAGGAACGCGGCGGAGGCGGCGGTTCTGGTATATCATCGTCACGCATGATGTCCGAATCGCTGCTGGCCGCTGCCTTGACCGCCTCCTCGATGGCCTTGAAGGACATTTGATCCGACGACTGGACCGCGTAATCGAACTGCAGCTGCCCGCTGGTGTCCAAAAAGGAGCCGCGCTTGCTGCCTGGCAACGGATTCGTTTCGACCAGCGCCGGCAGCGCATTGTAGCTGACCATTTCAATATGGGTGCCGCTGCTGGGCTGTGCCGCAGCTGGCCGCGTCTTGAGCAGATCCAGCGTGCTGGTCGAGCACGCCTCCCAGTTGTCCATCAGAAGTGTGGTTTGCGCTGGGTGCGGCTGCGGCGGTAGCTCCACCAGCAGCTGCTCCTCCTTCAGCTGTTTGGTCTTCTCATCGTAGCAGCTGTACTCGCCAAAGACCATGCTCATGCCGCCCTTGGTGTCCACCACGGCGCCGCTCAGCGTGTATGCATCACTGCCCACCGCATCGCCGGATCCGGCGGCATTGAGCTTCAGTATGCTCGAGTTCTTGCTGGTATCGCCATCCTGCAGCTCCTCTTTGGTTTTGGCATCGCGCGCCCGTTTCTCCCGCTGATGATAGATGCCCGCAAAGATCAACACATTGAGTATGAGCAGGAAACAGCCAACGGCCACGGTGGCTATCAGTGCCGTCGTATAGCTTTGGAACTGCTTGCCGCTCAGCCGGCGCAGCAGCTCCAGATTGCCAATGATGCCCGTCGATGCTGTCGCCAGATCCTTGTGCGTCTCCACTTGTGTGTGCTGTGTGCGATTGTCCTTCGGCGCCTGTGTTGTGGTCAGCTCCGATACGGACAGGGCGCCATCGATGCCACATTCTAAAACAAACAACATAGAGCATGTCGCGGAGCAGATCACACCTTAGTTTCTTAGCTTGTAGGATTCGTTACGGTTCTTAAATCTGAGCTGCTTTGATGTGACCAAAGCAATATTAAAATAAATAAAATAATAATAAATCCGAGATTTTTCGTTAAAATGATTCAACTTTCTGTTAAATCCACTTATTCAATTAGAATTTTGTAAATTTCCGATTTGTTTTTTTGCAAGGTGGCAACTCTAACATATTTAACTGGCAGTTAAAAAGCTATCATAACTTTGTCATGCAGCTTAGCCAAGAGGAACACGCAGAAGTGGAGCACCACCTGTTGAACAAAACAAAAGCTTTTCAAATTGTGCACATGTTACCTGTTGTTGCAGTTGCACCTGTGGCGCTTAAAGCATTTGTTGCATTTGTGTTTTCATGCTTTCGGGCAGGTGGCGGCGGGGTAGTTGTGGTGCGGCCCGTTTGTATGATTATGATGTTGTCATCGTCCGCGGGCTTCGTTTGCAGCTGGGGTCGCACAACACCTGGAATAAGTGCACAAAAAGCTGACTTAAAATTCACATACTATCGGTGCGTTTACCTTCGTAGAGATCCCGGCTGTTGAGATCATCCTGGAACTGATGATGCCGCATGGACTGATCGTTGATGTTGAAATGACGATGCAGCTGCGGTATCAGGTTGAGCCACATGGACAGCTTGTGGCCACGATAATGGGATTGAATGTTGGCCTTGTTGCCTGCTGGTGGGCAGAGTTTGTATTTGGGCTTTTAAGCACATGCGACTGTGTGTGTGTGTGTGTGTGTGTGTGTGTGTGTGTGTGTGTGTGTGTGTGTGTGTGTGTGTGTGTGTGTGTGGCTTACCCAGCTCAATGTACAGCTGATTGACCACGTCGTAGGCATCCCAGAAGGGCAGCTCATCCCCATCATAGCTGCCCACCTCGTGCTCAGTGCTCGTTGCGTCCAGTTCCAGCTGCGGAACGGGTCCCTCGTTGCTGCGCAAACGGCGCCGAAAATAGGAGCGTTTCTCGTGCATCGCATTGCTGCGACGCTGATTGTAGATGACGGCCAGGTTGAGGGCTTCGCCGGTCGCCAGCGCATCCTGGTATCTGGGCGCCGAGCGCTTGCGTTGCATATGCACTGGGGCACGGCTCTGGCTGGTGGCAGGCAGCTGGGCGGGGCCGGGCGTTGATTGGTTCGGATTGCTGGGAAGCAAAACAATTAGTGACAGCTCTCAGGTCACAGGTCAGGGGACATACCCAGTCTTGGCGAAATTGGCCAGATAGCGCAGCATTAGTCTTCCAATTTGGCGTTCCTGTGCCGTGTAGTTGTGTGGGAAAAGCGGAGAGACTGGCAAGCCCAGCCAGAAAGGCACATCTTCGCCGCGCACCGAACCAGTTCGCTGTCAATGAATGAAGCAGG